GGGTGCAGAACTCAAATTCTAGTAAGAAGACCAGACTTAATGGTCTGACTGAGACTGGAGGAACCCTGGAAAGCATGGCCCCTGGATTCTTTATCAGCCCAGAACTAAAACAATTTCCAAGGCCAACTCTTCAGACAGGGATTGGACTGGACTGTGGGACTTAAAGTGATACTCGTGAGCAGTGTGTCTCTTAGCTCAGGTAGATACAAGAGACTAAACGGGCAGCTTCTGTCTGGAGGTGAGATGGGAAGACAGGGTTAGGAGCTGGTTGAATGGACATGGGGAATCAGGTGGAAAGGAGGAATGTGCTGTCACAGAATGGGGAGAGCAGTTAGGGTAACATAACAATGTGTGTATATATTTTTGTATAGGAGACTAACTTGAAATGTAAACTTCATTTAAACTACCAATAAAAAAAAAAGGTGAGATGATTCTTACAGTATGCCCTGAAAGATGACTTGGGTTTTGATAGGGTGAGAGTGAGGTTAGGAGACTTTTCAGATGGAGAGAGCAAAGTAGAGGCAGAATGTTGGGTGAGTAATAATGTACACTTAGGGGAGTCGTGAGAGACAAGAATGAAAAGGTTACATTGAGGCCAAGTGGTGAAGGGCTTGGAGTACCAGGGGATATGGCTGGGAATTGGTCAGATTGATGTCGGGTAATTTTATTTTGGCTCCTTCATAAAAGACTACTAAAAAAAAAAAAAAAAAAAAATCCCACTTTAATAAGAGTTCAGAAGGGTTTTCACTGTTGTAGGATAAATGTAGGTGCTGAGGACATGCTACATGATGATGATTCAAACCAGGTGATATTTTCCTTGGAAATCTCATCCTTTCTTGAAACTGTTAGAAGGTTAAAAAGAGAGAAAATGATTAAATTCCTCAGAGTATTAAAACACAAAAAAGACACTATTGGCTTAAAAAGACAATACTCGGGGCCATTTGTGGCCACTCGCAGAATCAGAAGCAGAGATTGCTGTGCTGTACCAAGTTACGAGCGCTTAAGCTTTTCTTTGTGCTTCTCCTTTCCTAAGTTGGCTTTAACAGTGGCAAGGGACTTCACACCAGACCTTCATGCTTAATAGTCTAAATCTAGTATCTTCTTTAAAAACAGAGTTGTCCTGAGTCATTTCTGACTTGTGTGTCAGAAGAGAGCTTTGCTCCATAGGGTTTTAAGTGGCCAATTTTTTGAAAGTACATCATCAGGTCTTTCTTCCATGGTCCCTCTAGGTGGACTCAATCCATCAACCCTTTGGTTAGCAGCCAGGTGCTTAACCATTTGCGCCACCCAGGGACTCCTGGTGTCTCTTTGAATCTATCCTTTTCTAGAATGAACCTCTCCAAGGATTCTCTTTTCTCTCTAAAATGATTTCTTTACAACTTCTTTAGTATACTGATACAGTGTTTATCTTAGGAACAAAAAATACTTTAAAATATTTTAGATAGCAATGTAGTATTTATTTTAGGAATAAAAATGCTTTAAAACTTTTTAATTTAAAATTTTAGATAATGTATAAAATGAACCATTAAATGTTTCCTCCCCAGACTCATTATTTACTAAACTGTAAGTGAAACAAAAATAATTTTATATCCTGTTAAAGATTTCGTTGTTATATAGTCTGAGCTCTTGCAAATGACAAAATAGTATTGTGTTAGTTTAGCTCATGGGATCTCCATAGTGCTTTATTTCATTACTTCCAGCATTTTCAGGAAGCAAACACATTTTTTGCGATTTTATTATCAGTCTGTCGGTTGACCAGTTTATTGATCTCCTTTCCCAGATTGTTCAAAGCAACATACCATGAATTCCCTTTTTCAAACTATGAGTTATGCTTATTTACCACAGGATTTACTACAAGGTTAGTTGAGAGGTATCAGGAAAAAGCAAACATTGTTTCTCCTTTGCACCACGTCTTTTTCCTTTGGTACCTTGTGTGCTACACACAGAGTAGTTGGGCCAGAGGAAATGTAGGTAAGTATAAAGGTTGAGAGCCCTCCCAGAAGGATGATGGGACCCAAAGTTCTAGATGTTCTAGTTATACCGCAACCACTGTGACAGCTTGTGTGTGTTAGAATGTGCAGTAGTATGTCTCTAAGGGTCAGCTGAAACAGGCACAGCAACACGTTTTCCTCTCAGCTCTGGCTGTACTCACTTGGCCTCGTTGTCATGTAGTAGGTGTGCAGGTGTCTCTCTCAGTGGATGGTTGCACTGATACATCAGTCAGTGCTTACTGAGACTTTGGTGTGTGTTGAATATGCCCTGGGCATGTTTTCATAAGTTTCCCACCTCTCTTAACTATCTTTGTGCCACGCTCCAGAGGCCAACAAGAGCAGAATGGGATCCCAGCCTAAAAAAGCAGATTACTTCACACATTAAAATGGAAAATGGTCCTTAGATTCCCAGTGCACAGACATTTGTTTCACTATTAGAAATTGTTTTTCTTTGGGGGTGGGTGGGTGGTGGTTTGTTTCCTGATCAAATCAGACTGGCATGTATCCCAAGTGCCACCCTACTTCCTATTTCCCATCCCTAAGAGTTCCAGGTAATCAGAGCAAATTCCTGAGTCATGGGCCTATGAAAGACAGAGAAATATTGAGCTGAAGGGCCAAACAGTACAGGAGTGTGGAATTAGGAATCAAGAGCTGAATATTCCTTTTAATATATAATTGTGGGAGAGTCAAGTGAGACCATTTGTGTGAAACAGCTTTGGAACCTGTAGATTTGGAGCCTGTGCAAATATAAGGTGCCATTTTGTTTCTTGTAATTTTTGGCTTCCCAAGAAGTAAGAACAGGGGGACTGAAAGCAATCTTCTTTCTGCAAATTTCGAGTTTAATAACTAATTCTTTTTAAGATTATTATTAATGGAGTTTTTTTTTTTTTTTTACACCCCCTGACTATAGGGTGGTACTAAGGGGGGGTGGCTTGGGGGATGGAAGAACGGCACTTTAGGTATTCTACAAACTCCATCAGCAACTGCCCCCCAAATTACCCAGAGAAAACGAACTAAGTAAACAATATGTTTTCTATGCCAGATCCTTTTAAGGTAAATCCCTTGGTCTCCTGTTTGAAGCCACATTGCCACCCCTAAAACTTTATAATATTTCTATAGATAGCTATAGAAGGAACTAGTGCTTCTGCCTAAGATCCACAAAAGAGGAGAGTTTATATGACATTTCTCAAGAATGCTGGAGAAGGGTTGAGAAAGAAACTGGTTCTTTGCTTTGTAATGATTATTTGTATTCCTTCTTTTCTCCAGGAGTCTACTTTGACTGCTGTGTCAGACAAATTAAATTTGTGGACTTCTGTGGGAAGTACCGCCTCCCACTGATGCATTACTTGTGTTCCCCAGAATGCTCTTCCCCTTGCAGTTCTGCCTCTCACAGCTCCACGTCCCAGAGCGAATCGGACTCAGAAGATGAAGCTAGTGTTGCTGCACACAGAATGCAAAAAGTTCTTTTAGGTTGAAAAGAATGCAGCATGGTGTGAAACACTGAAAGACTGAGCAAAGGTGGTTAGAAAGGAAGAGTTTGAAGTTCACTAGACACTCACCTCGTTTCCATCTCAAATGTCTATATATGTATTATAGGTGATGTAAAAGATTTTGTGTTTCATCTACTCCTTCAGCAGGAACAAGTCCAGCAACGTGTTTGGATTCTTTGAATATAATTTACTCTGAATGGCAGTTTCAAATTCAGTTGATTGCAATTTTCACTCAAGTTCTGCATGAATCACGCAGCAGAATGATACGTTCTGACGAGCAGTACTGTAATAAACCAGGACTTGGCGTCAGTTGAGATGAAGAAAGAAACTATCAGAGCTATAATTATTACCAGAGTTGGCCTTGGGTTTAGGTTGAACACTGCCATAAAGAGGATTAGACCTCCTTTCTGACATTGCCCATGTCTGAATTACAGCACTAGGCAGATAAACTCAGAGATAGTTACATAGGACTTACACTTTCCTGACCTACTAACGTTGGTAAAGTAAGGGATGTAACTTTTGTGTGGGATGTTAAAACTCTTTAGTTCTGCTCCTCTGTTCTACATGGTTGCTGTTACCCTGATGTAATCCAGCAGTGGCTGTTAGTATAGTGCCTTAATCCTAATAAGGGTATAGAATCTTATTCAAGAAATAATGCTAGTTCTGCGTATAACCTGACATTTTACACAGAACACTTTAAATATGCTTTATTAGAACTAGGTCAACAACTTTGTATCTGACATCTGAGCTCATGGCACCTTAGCTTCATTTTTCTGTTTAAACACGAAGTGAACCCCTGCAAGCAAATCACTTTGACACTTTTGGGACACCACAGTCTTGATCAGTCTGTTCATCATCAGACAGATACTAGTTTTCAACAGAAAAGAGGTAAGCTATGAAAGCTCTTATATATCTTGTATTAAAAGAGAGAAAATGAATTTAAAACTTTTTAACAGTCAACCATGACTGTTTTACTTGTGCCTACGTACTGTAACTTTCTAATACAACTGTTCATTTAGTTGTAACTAAGCTAATACAACTAGCCAGATAAAATTGGGGGCAGGAGTCAGTTTGTTTATACACAATAGAACAGAGTTTCCAAAGCTAGTTTTACCATGGATTACTTATTGAAAATAATATATTGATGAAATAACAAAACTTCATTAAAATATTGTATCCTTAAAGTATAGCAGAAAAATAGTTTCAGAGATTGCTATATGAAATGACCAAAAAAAAAAAGAAATGACCAAATTTATATTAATATGTTGAATATGCAATAAAAACTGAATAATAATAGAAGTTGGTATTATAACCAACCCAACCTAGCACTCATTAGATAATCAGCATATAATAGCACGATGGTTTGTTGGTAAATGTTGCTTATACCATGATGCGCAGGCTAGACATGCATTCGTAGATCAGGTGACCTCTTTTCTGACTTGCTAGCATTCATGACTGGGGCGCACCATTTATATTGCCTGTATGTCTAGTTCACATATGTCTAGATTGTTGTATAATAATGATATATACTTGTCTTAGGTATTTTTCATATATATACAATTTTTTATTATAGAAGAAGATATAGAGTAGAATAGTTTGGAGTTTGTTAATTCATGAAACATCAAGAGTTTCATGAACTGCAGTTGTGAAACGCTGCTATAGAGTGAATCCCTTCACTTTGTTATATAATATAGTAAGATTCTTTATTACTTTGATTCAGAAATTTTCTGTGTCTGTAGAAGTAATCCAGTATGTTTCTAATGCTTAGCAAAGCTAGTACGTGAGTGATTACATCAGAAAACGGAAGTGATAAATAGTAAGTCTACTTTGTTTACTTCCCCATTTGAGCCATAGCAAGCTGCGTACTATGAAGTTATGAAAGGTAAAGATGACATAGGCAATGCTTAAATGACAAGCCCAAAATGTTTTGTAAGTAGATGACTTAGTTAAGATGCCTAAAATATTTTCATAGAAAATAAGTAATGTATTCATAGTAAAATACTCAAATTGATGTGATCAGGTTTTTCTGATTGAAATGCTTGCTTCCCAGTTGGCTGCCAGCTTGACCTAAGTGATATCTTGGGTAATCTTCTAAGAGTTAGTCTTTGGGTTGAATATGTAAATGTAGCACTTAAGGTTACATAACCCTTTCCAGCTTCCTTGAAAGAAGGTATACAATTGAACTTTCATAGACATAGAAGGGTTCAAGCAGAAACAGTTTTTGGCCTTTGCTATACAATGTGGAGCCCTGATGGCAGAGTGGTTAAGCACTCAGCTGCTATCCAAAAGGTTGGTGGTTCAAATCCACCTCCTGCTCCTTGGAAACCTTATGGGGGCAGTTCTACACTGCCCTATAGGATTGCTATGAGTCAGAATTGACTCGATGGCAACAGGTTTGGGAATTTTGGTTTTTATACAATGTAGATTTATACCATAGTGTTTTTCAACAAAATGTTTGTATGGTTCTCTATGTGTATAAGTTTAAAATCTACAATCCATGTGTAGCCATCTTTGGTGACTTTTTATGAAATCTACATTTAAGTGTTAGTTTTATTATTTTTTTAAATGTTTGACCTAACCTTTTTCAAGAGCTGCTAATAATTCCTAATATTTCCCTGTTTTTTTTTCCCCCTAACTTCTCTGTTTTCCTAACTGGTGATCATAGAGATTAACCAGAAGGTAAGATATAAGGGACCTGATAATATGGAAATCAAATAATCAGCTCCCAAGCCATAGACTGTATATTTAAAATGATAGCCTATCTCTTTAGTTGCTAAGTCACATGTTTGTGTTGAAACTACAGTTAATAAACTTTAACTGTTTTTTTTAGTGATTTCCAAAACCACAAAGCCTGATTTTCATAATAAAATAAGATTTTTATAATGCTCCACTTGAATGATTTTAGCAACCAAAACTTTCGTGGACCAAAGCATTAATATTTGTAGAATGGGATTTTTCAGTACTAATACTTGAAATTGGGATGGGTAGAGTACCCATTCTTAAAATCTTTATTCCTCGAATCCATTTCTCAGTGTCATCAAACTGTGTTGGTGAAATAGTTCTAGGATTTTAGGAAATAAGATGAGCTAATACAATATTTTGCTTCCACAGTGCCAGGGATTGGCTGACTTTAGGGCAGGCTCATCAGGACTCTCAGTATTACTGGTGTTTGAGCTGTGGAGGTAGATCTGAGGGTGATCATTCACGTTTTACTTCTAAATGCATGCCAGAGGGGTCTCCTGTTCTAAAATTCCTAGTATTTGGAACTTTGTTTGCTAGCTTTAAACAGACTTGCATTGTAAACTGTACTTCAAGTAAAAGAAAATTTTGTGTTTATGTAAATAAAATTAAAAGGCAGCCCATACTAGCGCAGGGAAACACTGCAGACCAGTTCTACCAGACATTGTAAATGTCAGTTTTAAACAACAGGAGGGAAGGCAGAGGCTGATTGCTGGAGTATTACATGAAGGAAGCCTTTAAAGGCCACGAAGGCAGGGAAGGGGAGTGAGCAGACTCCCAGGGAGAGCCCAGAGCCAGGAAGCCTGCTAAAGTAATAGTGAATTGTTTAAAAGTTTTTAAGTGGCCCACTGACTACCATCGGAAAGCCTCTATCACAGATTTGTTCATTTCTGTCGGAAGTTTGTTCACATCCCTCCATAATGAAAAGTCAGCAACTAGTGGGAACTTCTTAATCGCCAACCTTGATCTTCCCAAAGGGAAAGAGTGATACCTCATTAATCTGGAATTTGTGGTACAGCAAGTACCCTTAGGTTAATGTTTACTTTTTCACTGTGTAAAAAAGAAAAAAAAAACACTAAGCAAATAATTAGGACAAATAAAGTTTGACCTTTTAAAGCATTTTGGCAGTAACTTTATGTAAGAAGCTAATGGGTATTATTCCTAAATCTTCGTAAGACCTCTTACAGACAAAATTTTATCAGTTGCGATATGTGTATGTAAATGATCTATGCTGCATTTATTTAGAAATATCTAATTTTTACCCTCTTTCCTCTAATTCAAAGTAGAGATTTTATTATGTTGGTATAAGTATTACTCCTCAATTAATCCAAAATAATGATCTTCTAAGTTGTGCTGGGTGTGTAACAGTAAACACCCATATACAACACTGTTGTATAGATATTTAGGCACTATGACCTGTAATACATAGTTCTGATTTCCCCTGTATAGAAAAGAAGCACTTGGCCTTCATTGTTGCTGTATTAACTTCTACACCCTATGGAACATTAATGAATGTAATAGCATCCATTTTTGTATTTTCATTATAGTCATGATCTCTTCATTGGTAGCAGTGCCTTCATTTTTGATCAGAATGTCTGTGCCTTAAGCTTGGGGAACTAGAATTTGTTTGTGATAGACCCTTTGCACTTGACTTGAGGGAGAAAGACTGATCCTGAGAGATTCCTTCTCCCAGAATAGGGCCTAATGTCTCTGAGTCTAGGGCTTCCAGGGAGGGAACCCCAGTCACGCGCACTGTCACAGAAGGTCATAGCCACAAGGATTAGGTGTCCCCTGAAATAAAATCAGTGAAAAGGTATATTCTCTTTTGTGTTTCATAAAGAAGAATTATGTGATACCATTGAAGGATTACAGTATTTCCTAATCACCTTCATATTTATAACATCATACAGCTGCTAACCAAAAGGTTGGCAGTTCAAATCCACCAGCCACTCCTTGGAAACCCTATGGGGCACTTCTGCTCTGTCTTATAGGGTCTCTGTGAGTCGGAATCGACTCGACGGCAACGGGTTTGGTTTTTTTGGTTTTTTAAAGATATTACCATGAGGCCCAGTATTTTTCTCATTTGGCTTGCTTTGTAATGCTATGGTGAAATGGGGCATGTTTTAACATTTTTACATGTAAATATCTCCATTCTTTTTCTCTCTCCCTTTGGCCCATCTTTATGGATGTGGAAAATAACAGTTTACTGTCAAACATTACACATTGTTGAATACTCACAGGGTAATAGTAATTTGAGTGCTGCTAGACTTTTACCTAGCATTGGTCAGTCTCAATTACTGTTTTAAAGGACAGTATTCAATCTAGTAGATAAGAAGGTTACTTATATACAGTCATACCAGAAAGCCGGCGTGGAGAGACCCTCTGTATTCACCAGAACTTTTCTTTCTTTGACTGTGAGTAAATTGGATAAGACTGTTTTATTCTAAATTCCAGTTAGGGGAGGAAACTAGAAAAAGATTGACATTGCTGTTGCTGATACTGGGGGAAAAAAATTACTAAATTACTTTTTCTGTGTACACCAGTGTTTTAAGAGAACCCTTTCATTGACTGAAATGGTTGACATTGATGTATTGAGAAAGACTTTTAAGCTCAACAGTCATGTGGAGATCTGTGTGCCTGCAATTGAAGTTTGCATTTCTGAACCTACTTTGTATTCATGGGAAACAAAAACACAGTGGGAGAAATTTTTAGAATAACCAGTATTTTTAATTTTTAGAATGTTTGGGATTTCAAGGTATCAACAAAGGATACTGAAAAGATAGTTACTTTTACTTCGGTCAAATGGGTTTTTATGATCTGATTTCTTTGTTTTCTGAATTTGAAATCTTGTGAATTAGAAACATCTATATTTATAGATATATAGATATTGAAAACAATGATAACAATAAATGTAATTCAGTGACATTATTCAACAATTAAATTTTATTTCACGGCAAGATATAGTTTATTGCTTCAAATTTACATAGTATCTTGTAATAGTAAATGCTTCAAAAAGAATAAGCTACTTCAATTCTATTACCTTTTTCCCCTTGGAACATACAAAAGAATGTGGTCTTGTATTAAGTAACCCTCTGTGTGAATTTTGCCTTAACAAACATTGTGCCTAATTTTATTAAAAGTGTTTTGTTGGAATCTGACTCTATTCTGAAAAATTAACAGTGTTCTAATTTTAATTGACAAGCATTTTCTTTAAAAAAAATTTAAAAAATCCTTGTAATGTTGGTATTTGGTTACTTGCTGTACCGTTGCTCATCTGTTTATTCAATTTATTCAATGCATGGATGCATACATTAAGCATTTACTCTCTGCTAGACGAAAGGGATAAAAGATGAAGTAGACCATATCTCTGTTTACTAGAGTTCCTTCTGTTTCCACAGTCTCAACAAATTTATAGATGCATCCTCTAAAAAGAAATTGGTGAGATCATCTTGCTGGCTATGGTTAGTTACTTCTTGCATTTAGTCCAAAATAACACCATCTTAACCCAAAGTATTATAGTACTTTGTATAATACAAAGGATTGTAGTACTCAGTATTATAACTGAGCACAGTGATATTACAACACTTCACATTACTGTTGTCTGGTGCCATTACTTTAGTGACCTTAGAGTACCTGACATCATTTTAGATTCCAGAATTTGTAGAATACTGTGGTTTTGAATTGGCGTAAACGGATGGATAGGAAAAACACATTCGTTGTAAAATATCTAATGTTCTAAATTTTTTGAGATGGGAAGTTCATCACTTCCCTGGCTAGTATATCAAGAGGCTCCTTGGAAATACACCTGGTGGGGGTGTTCTCCTTAGAACTAGTGTCTGGAGAAATTTTTCTTCTGTAATGACTTGTCTGACTCTTTGTAGATACTAAGTAGGAAGGTGAGATGTTTCAGGGAATATGTGACTCACTTGTTTGAGAGAGAAAAAGACTTTTCCAACACTCCACAGGCTGAATCTTGACTCCATGCCTCTGGATTCCCACTTGGGTGCTGTTTCCATTATAGTTTGCTCCTTCTTTTATTTAACACTCTGACAGGAAATCAGTAACCGTATTGGTGCTGCACTGTAGCTGGCCTGCCAGCATCAAAGTTGTGTTGCTGCAGTACATTTGTTCAGTGTATACATTTTCAGAATTTTAGATCTGGGGGGGCCTGTAGATAATAGTAAACATCTGGGTAGTTCTTAACTGTTTTCAAAGCACATTCGAGAGCCTACCTTAATCCTCATGACACTGAAGTAGGTAGTTCTATATTTGCTGAAGTTTGTTGATGTGTCTGTCATACTTTTGCCCCTTGGACTTTAAAATCAACTGAGAAAATGACATATATCTCAGGGATCTAAACATCAGCTTTATCAAATTGGAAAATGGTGCTATTTTATATTCTTTTCCCTAAGTTGAATGTAATCACTCAAAACCACAGGTTCCCCTCAGGAGCTGCATCTATCTCATGTCTGACTAGACCATACCTCTTTGGACAGGCAGATCCAAAAGAAAAGGACAGATCAAATGGTAAACCCTTTAATGCTGCCCAGCAGAGAAACCTGGGCCAACCGTCATCAGACTGGCACTTACTGAGGAGATAGTCTTCATTCTACAGAGGGGAAAAAAGATCCTGTAAAAGTTTCTTCTGGGCAGCTGTCCTCACATCTGGCTACATATTAAAATCATCAGAGGAGCTTTTAAAATACAGATGCCTAGGCCCCATTCTCAGACTAATTGGTACCTGGTCTCCAGAGGTGGAGTCTGGACATCGATAATTGTAGAAGTTCTCCTAGTTGACTCGGTCGACCAGCAAGGGTGATAGCGGTGCTTTAGAGGAAGTACCCTCACGGGAACTTGAGGTCTGTGACTAGGGTTTTTCTTAAGTGAAGAAATGGGCCGAAAGTGACGTAGTAACTTATCCAAGTTTTCTTAGATAAATAGTGCTGGGACTAGAATTCATTTAATTTTTTTTTTTATTGAATGCCTACTTTGGACCAGGCAGTGGTTGCTAATTCAGAGCTCTTTGCTTCTCCCTGTCAGTCACTTTTCTTCTGAACTGAAAGTGTTTTGAGGGTGTAAAATGGCATCTTCAAATGGACTGGCAACACTGAAACCAACTTCAGCTAAGGCAGAGTATCTGCAGAATCATAGAAAACAAAAGCAGCAAACAGATCAAGTTGACCAGAAACATCATGAAAGGACGGCTTGGTCAGTATTTCACGTACCTGTTGGTTGTAGCCACAAGCCAAGAGATAGTGCTTCCACGTGTGAGGAAAACCTTCTCATGTCATGCACTGGTTCTTCTGAGCTCAGGCAAATACAGAGCTAACATCATAAGCAGCAGTGATGAATGACATTACCAGAAAAGGTAAGAAAATGTAGACATCTCCCTAGAAGAAAACACTATAGTTAGTCCATAAACATAGATTCCCATGATAGGAAACAGAACAATTCAACTCAAGTAAATATTGATATAAGCACTATGTGTGATTTCTACTCTAGTTTCTTTTAGATCTAGCTATGAAGTTAGATAATTATTTTCCTGCTTAAATCTGAATAAGAATGCCTTCTTGAGACTTACGTAAATATATGGAAAGTTTAAATGGAAAAGAGTAAATTCATGATGTCATGGGAACTCTGAAAAATAAAATATTCTTAAAATGTTATGATGGGTATTTCCTTCCTACAAATAAAGATTGAGTTTAAAATGTTGCTTTGGGAATTTTAAAAGCTGAACTAAGAGATGTAAAATAAGTTTAACTCCTTGGAAATTAACCTTATTTTATAGCTTCTACAATTTTAGAATTTAAAAATTCTAACCTCTATAACCCTGACAATGACTTCCAAAGTTCTTTCCAACTCTTGTAGTTGTTGGGTGTCAAGTCTATCCCAACTCATAGCGACCCCATGTGACAGAGTAGAACTGCCCCATAGAGTTTTCTTGGGTGTAATCTGTATGAAAGCAGATCACCAGGTCTTCCACAGTGCTGGGTGGGTTCAAACCACCAACATTTTGATTAACAGCCAAGCGCTTAACCATTTGTACCACTGGGGCGCCTGTTTCTAATTTTAAGAGTCTACAATTATCTGTACTCAAAAACTCATCCTTATTTTTGTAGCGCTCAAATATTTGTAAACTGTTGCATCGCTCAGCACACCCTTTTTAGTCATCTCTGCTTAGGCCTTTTGATCTTCCTCCTAAACCGGGGCACATGCAGCCAAGGGCAGAGCTAGCGGGTAATGAGAGCTTCCCCCTTGACTCTACAATTAAAATTCCAGCCTTTCTATCACTTCAAGGGTTTGCTGTAGTGCATGACGGATGTCAACGGGCAGCTTTGAATCAAATAATCTTAGTCCTTTATTTCTGCTGAGGGCAGCATCTCATAAAAGACATGTATGTAGTTGACCAATGGATAAGAATGAATCAGATGATTACTAGATGCCTTTGGCATCGGCTGTGGTATAAATTGTAATTACATTTTTAAACCAGGCCTGCCACAGGAATTTCTCTCTAATTCTAAGCAATCATAGAATCAAAGGTTTAGCAGCGAGAGCTTCAGAAGTCATCATCACACCACTTTTATGGTCAGGCCGAGAGCCGATCCTATTTTTAAATACCTCAGAGAAGATTTTACATCCTTAGCAATTATTAATCTCCTGGAGGAAACATTCCCTAAGGTTTTTGTGATTTATGCTCACCAGATGAGATATGTGGGCAATTTATAAATTATTTATGCCGGCAGAGAGAGAGAATGACAATAAGTGTATAATGTGTGTGCATGTTTGCGGGCACGTGCACTCCTGTGCTACTTGCTATTCGTTTTGTACCTTTGGCTCCAGAATGTTGTTGCTCCCTTTGTCCTCTGACCTCCCAATCCAAAACCCCTTCCACCACTGTGAAGTCAGTGCACACAGGTGTCATACTCCTAACGTCTCCCTTGTGTTTGTGCAACACCTATTAGGAAGAGAAAAATGAGACCAATGGGACCACAGCTCTATGCAGTCGAGACATAAATCCGATAATATAAGGACTGAGCATCAAGCTGTGATAAGTTGAAAAAGAAGGATTTCTGACAGTGAAGCTTTCAGCCCTGACACTAAGCAGCAGGCAAACTAATGTAAATACAGGAGCTGGTGTGTCCAGTGGGAAGAAAGAAGGACAAGATAGTTGCCTAGCCACTCTTGTCTTGGCTGAGAGTTTCATGGATGCCCCAGTGAGGGAAGTTGCTGATTAATAACTGAACCACAGTGAAGTTATATGTGATGTGAGCTGTAAATTGCCACATAATTATATGTACATATTTATTGTTGTAAACATATCCCATAGAGGAGATTCACTTTTTCACTTACGCTTTTATCCTTATGAACTCCAAGGTAATATAACTTCTTCAAGGTTTTATTAAGGACAGGAACTTGTATTGGGTCAAATCAATATTTAATTTTCCTGATGTCTGATCAGACAAGCCCAAATATTTACGCAGTCCCAAAGACTTGCTCACACACACAGAGATGCCTGTGTACATATACACATATGCACACCCAGAGATTAAAATTTGGTCATTGGGCACAGAGAGCAGAATGTGCCTGTCACTTTCATCTGGCCACGTATCCCAGAGAGGAGTGAGCTGCCAAGCGGCTCTGTGAGCAGTGCTGGACCCACCATGTGGTAGGATGGATGTTTTTTCTCCTTTGAGAAATCCAGGGCCAAACCAATCTTTGAGCAAAGGCCAATAAATTGATCTGACCTGAAGCAGATGCCTCTTCTCCCAAATCAAGGTTTGGAGGGCATGCACTACTAACATCTGCTTGTCAGTAATAGGCCCATTACCCTGATGAGGGTGATTTTCCTGTATGTGCTTTTTAACCCCCAGGTCAGGCCCTAATCTATTTTCTTTATGCAACCATGGGCACCAAGACAAGATCGTTCAATCATTCTCACACATCCAAAAATACACATCCTATGGGTGCACACACATGAAATTAGGTAGTTAGGAAGGTGTGAAGGTCATGTTGGACGCAGATGCTGATTTAAGAAAATTCGTTGGATCACATGATCATCTCAATCAAGGCAGAAAAGGCATTCAACAAAGTCCAACACCCATTCCTGATAAAAACTCTCAATAAAATAGGTATAGAAGGGAAATTCCTCAACATAATAAAGGGCATCTATACAAAACCAACAGCCAACATCATTCTTAATGGAAAGAGGCTGAAAACATTCCCCTTGAGAACAAGAACAAAACAAAGATGCCATTATTTATCACCACCCCTATTTAACATCGTGCTGAAAGTCTTAGCTAGAGCTGTAAGGCAAGAAAAAGAAATAAAGGGCATCCAAATCGGTAAGGAAGACATAAAACTGTCCGTATTTGCAGATGATATGATACTATACATAGAAAATGCAAAGACTCCACGAGAAAACTACTGGAACTAATAGGTTCAGCAGAGTAGGAGGATATAAGATAAATGTACAAAAATCAGTTGGATTCCTATACGCAAAGAGAATGATGAAAAGGAAATCAGGAAAACAAAACCATTTATAATAGTCCCTAAAAAATAACATACTTAGGAATAAATCTAACCAGGGATGTAAACGACCTATACAAAGAAAACTACAAAACACTACCGCAAGAAATCAAAAGAGAACTACATAAATGGAGAAACATACCATGCTCATGGATAGGTAGACTCAACATTGAGAAAACGACAATTCTACCCAAAGCAATTTACAAATACAGTGCAATCCCGATCCAAATACCAACAACATTCTTTAAAGAGATGGAAAAACTAATCATTAACTTTATATGGAAAGGGAAGAAGCCCTGCATAAGTCAAGCACTATTGAAGAAGAAGAAAAAAGTAGGAGGACTTGCACTTCCTGACCTCAGAACCTACTATATAATTACAGTAGTCAGAACAGCCTGGTACTGGTCCAATGACAGATACATTAACCAGTGGAACAGAATTGAGAACCCAGATGTAAATCCATCCACCTACGGTCACCTGATCTTTGACAAAGACCCAAAGTCCATCAAATGGGGAACAGACAGTCTTTTTAACAAATGGTGCTGGCAAAACTGGATGTCCATCTGCAAAGAAATGAAACAGGACCTATACCTCACACCATACACAAAAACTAATTCAAAATGGATCAAAGACCTAAATATAAAACCAAAAACTATAAAGATCGTAGAAGAAAAAATAGGGTCAACACTATAGGCCCTAATACATGGCATTAACAGGATACAAACCATAACTAACAATACACAAACACCAGAAGATAAGCTAGATAACTGGAATCTTCTAAAAATTAAACGCTTATGCTCATCAAAAGGCTTCACCAAAAGAGTAAAAAGAGAATCTACAGACCGGGGAAAAAATTTTGGCTATTACAAATCCGACAAAGTTCTAATCTCTAAAATCTGCAGGAAAATCCAACACCCCTACAACTAAAAGACAAATAATCCAATTAAAAAATGAGCAAAGGGTATGAATAGACACTTCACCAGAGAAGACATTCAAGTGGCTAACAGACACAAGATGAAATGATCTCAGTCACTAGCCATTAGAGAAATGCAAATCAAAACCACAGTGAGAAACCATCTCACCCCGACATTACTGGCACGAATCAAAAAAACAGAAAATAACAAATGTTAGAGAGGCTGTGGGGAAATTGGAACTTTTATACACTGCTGGTGGGAATGCAAAACGGTACAACCATCTTGGAAGATGATATGGTGCTTCCTTAAAAAGCTAGAAATAGAAATACCATATGATCCAGCAATCTCACTCCTAGGAATATATCCTAGAGAAATAAGAGCCGTCACATGAATAGACATATGCACACCCATGTTCATTGCATCATTGTTCACAATAGCAAAAAGATGGAAACAACCTAGGCGCCCATCAACAAATGAATGGATAAACGAAACTATGGACATACACACAATGGAATGCTACACAACGATAAAGAACGATGAATCTGCGAAGCATCTCACAACATGGATGAATCTGGAGGGCATTATGCTGAGTGAAATAAGTCAATCACGAAAGAACAAATATTGTATGAGACCACTACTATAAAAACTCATGAAAAGATTTACACACAAAAAGAAACAATCTTTGATGGTTATGAGGGGTAGAGGGGTGGGGAGGGAAAAACACTAGCCAATAGATAAGTGGTAATTTTGGTGAAGGATACGACAGTACACAATACTAGGGAAGTCAGCACAACTTGTCCAAGGCAAGGTCATGGAAGCTCCATAGACACATCCAAGCTCTCTGAGGGACCAAATTGCTGGGCTGAGGGCTGTAGGGACGATGGTCTTGGGGAATGTCTAGCTCAATTGGCATAATATAGTTTATAAAGAAAACGTTCTACATTTTGGTGAGTAGCATCTGGGGTCTTAAAAGCTAGTGAGCACCCATCTAAGATACTCCACTGGTTCCACCCCATCTGGAGCAAGGGAGAATGAAGAAAATCAAAGACACAAGGGAAAGATCAGTCTAAGGGACTAATGGACCACAACTACCATAGCCTCCACCAGACTGAGTCCAGCACAACTAAATGGTGCCCAGCTACCACCACTGACTGCTGTCACAGAGATCATAATAGAAGGTTCTGGACAGGGCTGGAGAAAAATTTAGAACAAAATTCTAACTCATTAAAAAAAAAAAAAAAAAAAAGACCACCAGACTTACTGATCTGACAG